TTCTGTATATATATATATATATATATCTATATATATATATATGTAATATATATATGTATAGTTTTAGTGAATCCATTCATATTCGTGTGTGTTTGTTACCTTCCATATATACATTCTATATACATTCGTGTGTGTGGTTATAGTTTTCTTGTCTGTATGTATTTATTTGTGTCTCGGAGTTTCTTCATATGCATATATATTTATACTTGTATATATATATAAATATATATATATATGTGTGTGTGGGGGGGTGTTTGTGTGTGGGTCTGGGTCTGAGTGTCCGTGTCCGTGTTCGTGTCTGTGTATGTATCTGTGTGTGTGTGTGTGTGTGTGTAGCTACTGATATGTATACGTATATGTGTATATATGAAATATATATTTTTATTTATTTAACCTTTATGCATGTATATACGTACATATTGTCTCTAGCCACGTGTGAGAGAAATGACATCCTAATACTTCTCTTGATGTGGCTCCATGAGCGGAAAAGCTACTATCTTTGCAGGACAGCTTTCTCGTTTGCATTCTTTGACATTGGCCAATTTCTTCTGTTTTTTCTTTTTTATTCCTTCTGTACTAGGACTTGCTATTTCGTATGCTAGCGACGGATTATGTACACCTTCCACTTACTGCTGTAGCGCAAATACATGTCGATGAAACTAAAGAGCATGTTGCGATACGCATTGGAGAACATAAGCATGAACATGTCGAACGCCTTCCTCTGGCCAGCTCTTACGTCCAAGCCGTGTCGGCCGAAGAGGCAGGGGAGAGCGGTCGTGCATACGAACGCACGCTTTCGCCTCAATCATCCGTATATTCCAGCTACAACACGAACACGAGCCAAGCTTCTCAGGAGAGCTACACATCAGCTCAGGAGAGCGCATTGGCATCTAGCTCCCCAACACGCACTTCCGGGTACAGGGCCGCGTATCCGTCGGCCCACGAGCCTGCTGCGCCAGCATCGTCGAGTTACAAACCATTGCATACGCCGTCAAGAGCACCGGCAAGCACCCCAGCACGTGCATCTCCCAAGGCCGAGACGCCTGTTGCACACGCCTACATTGCCCCAGTGTACAAGCCCTTGGGTGTGTACAGAGCGGAAGGCGTGAGTGTGTACGATTGTGAGGGCGCCCTCTTTGCCTTCGACGCGGGTATCCAGAAGTTTGTCCCGGTTGTCGGTCAGGCGCACAATGTCATCAGCTCCCTCTCTAAAAATCGGCTGCGACTCGACGTCTACAAGGTATGCGGGTGTCGACTTCAGTTCATACGTTGTGTGCTCGTTTACGGTTTTGTGGTGTGTTCCGAGTTGGTGTCCTCTTCATTTGTGAGTTGCATACTCGTGTATGGTACTGTGATAGGTGCACCATCGCCGACATTGCCCGCTAGAACGATGCTTTAGGATTGCATGGCCCTTACCAGCGCCGTAGTTTATCCCTTGATACTTGTGAGTACGTGCTGTAGTGCGTGGCGCTGGTGTCCTGCTGAGTGGGAGAGTTTCCAAGGTAGAGTGACGTGCTTTCATCGATTATAGCATTTGCCCCAGGTAGAGTTTATGCTCGGTACTCCATTGGGTTGCGTTGATAAGGTGTTTCTTAAGAATCTTGGCAAGGTAGCCTAGTATGCATTAATCGGTCATTCTGTGCATCGCACGTATAGTATGTATGTTTGATATCCTTTGGGAATTATTGTTCTATACGTGTGTCGGTGTCTTCTAGGCATCAAATGTAAGCTACCTGCAGTTTCAGTGTCTTGTCCGGTTTATTGTGATGTCCATCATGCCCCAGATGTGATTCCAGTGTATCGTATTTTTGCGGACGTAAAGTAGTCTACTGTTGGTTAACGTCGTATGTGAAATGCGTTCGTTCGGATTTCTAAGTAATATTCTTTATGTGTTGGGGGATAGACCACAGAGTGACTATTGACCGTGGCATGGTGTGGCGGCCGTATTGACCCTGCGACATGCCATGACCGCTTAAGCCCCTCTGGGTGTGTTGGTGGGACGAGCGGTACAGCTTCGCCCGTATCAGCAAAAATAAAACAAGCCAAAGTTAGCACTTAAGCCACGAGTATTCCATCGAATAAGACTGTTGTGAATGCAAGTTCGGCAGCAGTTCTTCATCGTCATCCTAGTTGATGTTGTACATTCAAAATACCTTGGACAGAAATTTATACTCCAATGTATACTCACTATCGATCTTACATATATTTGTAACGAGACGACCGTGACCATCCTGTGTATGTGTATGCTTCTCTCATCGTCGTTAGTCTCTATTTGACTATTTGCTCCCATACCCCTCTATCCAACACAGGGCAGCGAACTGTGGTACAGACAAGTACCCAGCATGAAGATGAATTTATATCCACTTAAGTCCGAGCAAATGATCGTGTGGAACGGTAGCAGGGAAGGCGTTGAGTGCTCCTTCGGTTGGAAGTTTGCCAAGTAAGTCAAGTGGAGTGGCACTGTACTCTCGGGTTCTCGCCTTGTAATCTCTCGCTTGTTCAATGCTAGTTGGCAGGCTATAAATGGACTTCAAGCGTGCCATTGTGTGTATATCGATCGAGACCCTTTTTAATCGTTTCCAAGCGAAGAAGAAGAAAATTATTGCGCCTGACATTGCAATTTTTCAATAGCAACGTTTCGGCTTATATCGGAATTGTCCGAAGATCATCTCTCTATTCTCCACTCACTCATACTCTTTCCAATTGCCGCTGACTGTTCTGTGTAATATACTACTTGATTGTAAAGGGCTATTGATTTCCGGAACTGGCAGTACAAGATCTATGGGGCGTTCTTGGCCCAGCACAGCGCAGAAGCAGCGAAGAAGATGGATCAAGAGTCAAGAGACTACGTGATGGCGCTGGGCGGCTTTGACCCTATGGACATCGACAAGCCGGAAGTCGCGTACGTTCGAATTTTTAGAACCGTCAGTGTTCGTATGCGATGGTGAAATACGGAATATTCGTGTGTTGTACCCGTATGGAATTTTTGTGCTTTTTCTTATTTTATTTTATTATTTTTTGGATCGTTGTGATTATTTCACAGCGCGAAGACTTGGATCTGTGACGAAACTGATTTTGCGATTTTGCATCGAAGCTGCACTCGTTATAACATTGTGTCAAATCTGTAAATTGTCTGCTTTTCCTATTGGTACCTCGTCTGCATAATGTGTATGCATTTGCTAGACTATCATGTATCGTCCGTTCCGTGGTACTACGTATTTCATACACTTTGGAATACTCGTATGCCCTTGGATAGCAGAATCCTCACTTGTTGTTTATATTGCACCTTATATTATGCAGTATTCAATTTATATTCACCTATCATGGAGATTCAATCCGCTCTTTGCCATTCACAGTTCCTGATGAAGCCTCACTCACATACTTGAACCACACATTATTCGAGATATAGATACATATCTTGAAATGCTTACCCGCTTTTCAACATATTGCAGTCTTGATATTTCTACCGACTTCGTAGGTACATATCTGCATTTGATGTTTATTCACGTTCCATGAAATTTCTATCTGGTCACGAATACATCACAGTGGTGCACTGTCAGACTCTGATGAAACGAGTGACACAGATGATCTGCTCAACGACTCCTTCTGGTACAACAATGGCGAGAAGAATACTGGGCTGGCTGTGGGTTTCAACACGAACCGCAGCTTTGTAAAGAATCGCTCTGGTATTAATGTGCTCAGGACAACTGACGAGGGCGATATGGAGACTGTCACCTCAATCGGGTACATGCTCGGATTATTGCTCGTGCATGTACAAATTGTACTATTATCTCGTATTGGTGTCTACTGGTGATAAAATATAGGTCATGTGCTAGTTGATTTACGGGTTCATAATTGCCTATAAATAATAATGTACACGTGTATGCATTCGAAACGCGAGTCGCTCTATTTGTAGTGACACGTGTGGTATGTATAGGGGTGAGTACGAATTGGATCAAGGCTGAATGCAGGATCATACAAGTGCTGAGGTGAATCCAGAATCATACAAATGCTTACCTATGTTGGCCGCACGGTTTGAGATGCGCTATTAATAAATTCAATTGGCTCTGTTGTGTTTGCTTGCTTGTTAAAATACTCTGTCCCTCCCATAATTTCTCTGAAACAGATCACATCGTGCTCATTTGCGGTGTCACTATTCATCAACAGCATAATTTCATACACATCGCGCTCGCTCGCCCCTTACTACCATTCTAAATGGCATGGTCAATTTCATTTGTAGGTCGAAGCAGTTCAAATTCAACGGGAAAACCTTCAATGCGAATAATATGATGCTGCACAAGGGCGACCAACAAATGCTTCTTTTCGACCCGATAGCCGATGACAAAGCTATCTATAGAATGGATATGACTAGGGGAGAAGTGGTGGAGGAGTGGAAAACGCATGACGACATCGGTGTTAATGTGCTTGCACCTTCAAAAAAATACGCGCAGAAAACAGACGCTGACACTTTAGTAGGATTGAATCAGGTTTGTTAGCTGAAAACTTGATCTTGTGCCTGTAATTGTAATTATTTTTACACATGTGTATATATTAGTTAATATATATATTTTTCATGGAATTTGTGGTCTGTGCTCCAATGTATTTATGCACCTAGAAAGCTATCCCGATTGAAAAGTACGATTGCATATAAACTTATCAATATAACTATGTACACACGTATGGAAGGCTCATATTATCGTCATCGATGTGCGTCTATTCCAGTATACCACTCCACGCATGTGAGCTCATAAATAAATGTAGCAGCTTCAGAGCTTACCAATCTTCATTGTTGTTGTTTTTTTATCTATAGCCGGTATGTTTTTTAAATTAACGATCAATCATGTTTTTAAACTTTTCAACTTCGTGTTTTTCTGCAGAATCGATTAATGGTTGTGGACGGGCGTTTGTCGGGTTCAAAGGTAGTTGAATCACAGAGCCAAGCGTACAAAACCGCCCCCTTGCTAAGCTGCTTACATACCACTGCCGATGGGGGTGTAGTTGTGGGTAGCGAACTGGGCGAGATTCGAATGTTTGATCGAGTGGGCATCCGTGCGAAAACGCTACTGCCTGGTTTTGGAGGTACGTTTGGGAGGTGAAGCATACTCCAATCTTCGTATCAAGGTCATACGGTAGTGTTCATGTGTTCTATTCTGATGTTATGAAAACTGATTATAGGTGGTGATGTGATGAGTGTCTAAATTGTATATTGTTGCTGATGCAGGTCCTGGTATTCTGTGCGTGTAGGGTTGAGGTTGTCAAGTATAAATATTCGTGTCTGTGTGTGCTCTTTAGCATGCCAATTTTTGCAAGATCAATTAGAATTGACAGTGAGATTGTTCCTCTGCACATATCTTATTTTTTTATGTATATATGCATCTAGGAAAGGGAACTTGTCAAGATATATTGTGTGCTGACTATCAGATTCTGTATTCGTATCATCTGTCCCAATGGAATGAAAATTTCGGACATGTGCGACCTTGAGTTTGGGATATGCGGAGTGATTGTGCATTATGTAATTAAAATTAGCGTCCTTTCATTCCTGCCTTAACAGAAGCGATCATTGGTATCGATGTCTCCGCCGACGGCAAGTATATTTTAGCGACATGTGAGAATTATTTACTGTTTATTCCGACGACTTTTACGGATCCTAAGAGCGGAAATGAAGCTACTGGAATCAAGAAGCAGATGGGCAAACACAAGGTATGCTTGTTCTCGTTAAGTGCCTGAGATGAGTATCCCATGGGCGATATGAACAAAGGTTATCTTGTTGCGCGACCATTATAATGACGGGTTTTACACAACTGGACTCTAGCATAGTGTGATATCCGTTCAATCGGTGTGATTGACGAATTAATACTCTTGAGCCATTGCCACTCGATTTTTCGAGGTCTCACGTCACTTCTTTCTTCCTTCCCTTCTATCGATTGATATGTCTACAGCCCAAACCGACTGTGCTCAAGCTCAGGCCAGACCATGTGCAGCTAATGAATTCCACGGTATGTGTTACACTGTCCCATCTGCCCTTCTTAATCGTTACTACATTTGCTGTACTGTAGTGCGTGCGTCCACCGTTTGTACCCAGTGCATGGTCAGTTTTTCTATATACGGTTTTAGGGTTTAGGGTATGGGTTTTCTAAACTTAGAATAAGGTGAGTTCAGAAAAAAAAGGAGAAAAATTTGTTAACCCAAATCAACATATCAATGACTTATGTTATCAAAAATGCATATCTTCCTTGTTCAACAACTCTAACTGTAATCGCCGATTATCTGTGGTTAATAATCACTATGTCACGCGTATATTTTTACATACAGGTTGATTTTACCCCGGCACGTTTCAATATAGGAGATTCGAAGGAAGAGTTGATAAGCGCCAGTAGCGGACAGTATGTGGTGCAGTGGAACGTTTCAGAAGTAGCCAATGGAATTACCGACCACTACGTTATCAAAAAGGTATTTAAAATGCCGGTTTTGACTGCGTAAGGGTGGCATCAAATGTGCTCTTTGCGTAGCATCTATGCTTTGTTTCAAACGTTCTGTTGTGCCATTGTAGGTCACTATACCTTCTCTTTGAGTCTAATTACGCTCTTGTTTGTTATGAGACGTTTTTGCCTGTTTTGTTTCCAACGCACATGGGCTTGTATGTGGTTTTCACGCCCCAGTCATTTTTTGCTAATCGTCATTTTTTTAGTGCTATTTGCCAAGTAAAATTCTGCTTCCGTAGAGACGAGCTTATATGATCTTCCTGCAGACTACAGTCAACTCGTCACTTTCTGTCTTATCTCAACTTTTCTTTTGCCATTTTTAAATCAATGTTTTCTTTCTCTGCAGTACAAGGATAGCGTGATTGGCGATATGTTCGTCTACAACCAACCGGACAAAGTGGTGGTGGCGCTCACCAGCGATGTCACCACGTCAAAAAAGCAAATGTTCAAGAAGCCACAGACCGTATTCAACAAAGGAAGGGGCAATGTGTCGGCTCGTGACAGTATAGTGCACACTCTGTGGTAAATTTCGTATTACTCGATTAATTAAAAACATCTGTATTGCTCGATTCGCCAAAGACATCCAAGTTTCTCAAGCCGGTCGCGTTGGCGCTGATGTAACAGCTTTTAGATTAGTCAACGGTGATAAAGCAATTACGTCTGAAGTGAATTTGTTTATCGACACACTCAAATTGTATGAGCGGTCAGAGTGATTGTTCTAAGCAATGTGGTTAGCGCTATCTAAAGTATCACACTGGAGACGAACCAACATATTCCAAGGTCCCTAAGTGCACTCTCCGGACTCATATCCTCATATTTATTGTGCGGACAGAGTCATCGTACAACCATCGAACCGTGTATGCAGCACATAACTGATTTGCAATTCATCGCCAGTGTTATCGAGTTAGAACAGCTGGGTGTTTGTCTCCCATTTGGCTACGCTACATAATGCCCGACAGATCCATGGAATGTGTCTTGGCTTATTGTTCTGTTATAGCACAATGTAACACACACCGCTCACGCTCCATATGCTTTGCGTTTAAGCTGCCATCCTACACGAACTGTCCAGGGGTTCGATGGCTGGTAAAGAATTTGATACGATTCGTATACTATTTATAAAATTGTTCCTTCGCCCTATTTTTCAATAGGCCCAGGTGTTGTCACATCTACTAATGAAAATGGGACTTTTCAAGTCAGCAATACGCACTTTGTTCCTCGAATAATTCTTCTTTTACAGCAAACCTGAACAAAACCAATAATATAATCACCATGGGCTGGTATGAACAACAAAGAATATATAAAACGATGATCTCTGCCATTGGATGTCAGTGTCAATTCCAACTCAAGTTTTAGCTTTGTATTGATGACATAACTTGTCGTTTTATGTTTGCGAGCGACAACATTCTGTAATTCATTGTATACTTGTTGATAATCGATGATTAAATAGGTTTAAGCACCATGAACTAATGTGAAATTTAGACGATGGTCTGCTATAAATGCCTGATTTGTTGCATACTTGTACAAAATAAAGAACCAAGCTAGCTTTAATATACGGAAATTTTATAGAGCTAAACAAAACAACATACTACCAGTGCAAAGAACACTGAGTTTTGCCTATATTTCACGTATATACGAGAAGTGTTGTCAAAGCCTCTCAGACGGTGTGTACTATCATGTTAGCCTTGTTAGGTCACGTCGTACATAAGATATCAATCCAACTACCCTGATAATTTGACGGCGTGGTAGAGCAACTCGAATTAAATTTATGCATCGCAAATCCTACATCGCTGTGTTCTATGCTATACCTCTCAAAGCTGCTGTCTCAATAAAGCTCCACTATATATTGGAAGCTATCACTCATATAATGTATAAAGATTGATATACTACGTGTTCCGTCGCTTCCTGTTCGCGTAGAGTGGGTAACCAACATACTTTTTCCCTGTTCATATGCGGAGTATACATATATATATATATATATATATATATATATATATATATATATATATATATATATATATATATATATATA